TTAACACAGTAAAGGAGTTTAAGCATGCGTGGGATAGGCATAAGGCTATCCTAACTATAAGATAAAGCCAAGGACTAATGAAAGTATTTAGAAAATTGGGCAGACTAGATGGGCTGAATGGTTCTTACCTGCAGGGCCGTCTTTAATTTTGCCTGGACCCTGGGCAAGCATTTACTAGGGCCCCCTGACTACATATAGATACACACAAATACACTACCAGACACACATGCAGATACACACTGACCGCATATAGATACACACAAGAACATACAGATACACACAGACTGCATATAGATACACTGACACACACATAGACACACACAGATACAAACACTGACATACATGCAGATACAAAGGTACACACACTGACACATACAGATACACACACCAACACAAATGGACAACATACAGATACAGAGACACATTTTGACAGACGTACTGACACAGACTCACACACAGGCAGCCATAATGAGACACACATACACAAAGACATACTGAACCATACAGACACTGATGGATATACTGGCACATATACACACAGGACAGACGAACATACTGAAACACACATACACACAGACACTGACAGACATACACACATACAGACATTTTGACACTCAGACAGCCATACTGAAACACACATAAATACTGAACCACACAGACACTGACACTGACAGACTCTCACACACACAGATACACTGACAGACATACACTGACAGACAGACATACACACATTCATACTGACACACACACATACACACACACTCAGACACTTATGCAAAATTTGATAACCACCCTCCAGTTTCTTACCTTTTCCTGGAGGGTGGCTTCCCATGGGGTCCAGTGGGCTGGCTGGGGTGGCTGGGAGTTAAGCTCTCGCTCTCTCCCGGCCTGGCCCCCGCCGGAACAGCTCCTTCCTCCCGTGCGGCTCCTGTTTCTGTGGGAGGAAGTGACGCGCGGCTGTCAATTCCTCCCAGTGCTGCTGAAAAGCAAGGGCCCGGTCACGCTGTTAAAGCGCCAGAGCGCCCGACCGGGCCCCTGCGGACACAGGCCCACCAGGTGGCCCTAAGTGTATTAGCCATCCGATGGGCCTCCATAGTGTGCGGCCAGAGAGCAAACAGGGCAGCTGCTTTGGGCCCCCCAGCAGGGACAGGGCCCGGGGCAGCTGCCCCGTTTGCCCCGCGTTAAAGATGGCCGTGCTTACCTGCCATCGCATTCTATGTTTCTTTTTTTTTAATGATTTTTTATTGATTTTCAAGTTTCATAACAATAGTTGTGTATACAATAATTACATCTGAAACATAGACAATATGACTTCAACAGGTAATGTTGCATAACATTTTCAAGATATAGCGATAATCATTATACAGATGATGACGAATATTGAGGATTGAACAATCATTATACAATTGCTGACGAATATTGAATATTAGGTATTTCTCCGAGAATGTATTATAAACTACAGTATATATAGTGTAAATCATGCTCCACATTCTTGCTCTTTAAGAGCTTTACATGTGATGTTTGGGTAGTCCTCAGTACCCAGTACTATTTTTGTTACTTTTGCCCAAATCTCACTTCGCTCCCCCGAAGTAGATTGATCAGGGTCTCCATAGTTGAGTGAATGTTATGTAGTTTTTTGATAAAGCATATGTTATACTTTCCATTTGTTTAATACTTTCTACCCTGTTGGTCCATTCCCTGATAGAGGGGATCTTTTCCTGTTTCCAGTATACTGGAATAAGGTAATTTGCTGCCATGAGCAATTGTGTTGAATTGTTTTTATTACATTTGCATAGGTTAGGCATACATACATCATATTCAAACTTTTACTGCATCATCGCCTGCGCAGAGGCTCTGCTTGTGTAACAAAGGTAGTAGGAAAAGCGCCTACGCAGAGGCTAACTTTTAGCAATGCTTTACCGTGTCGTAGTGTTCTGTGTGCCACCTGCGTATTAGCTTGGTTATTTTCAACATTGGCCTATTTTGGTATGTAGCTGTGGTTATCTCTTACATAGTCATGTGTGGATCGGCATGTAGTGTTTGGAAGGCCTGTGGTGTCGAGTGCATGGATCCCCGGGATCCTTATCAGTAGGCGTTTGGTCTCGTGGGTTTAATCCCTTTTGAGGGCCACTGTTGGGTGTAATGTAGCAGTCCTAGGTGTCGTTATCATTAGGTCATTAATTGTCAGGGTGAGCCAGGGCGATCGGAGTACTTATTGCGCTGTGGGCCCTGGTGGTTCGTTCGTTGGGTTTGGTTGGTTTGGGGTCTGCTGGTGTCTTCTCTCATAGCATTTCAGGTCTTAGCCCTGTCGGTAATTATTTATTGCATGGCTAGCCTGTTGCTTGGCCCTCTCTATGGGTTTCTGTAGTGAGTGTTGTGTAGTTTTTGGTGTTTGTTCGTGTGTGTGTTTCCCCTGCTTCCCCGTGTCTCGGTGTCTGTGGGGGATGTCGTCCGGTATGGTATCAGGCGTTACTGTATGGGTATGGTCCTTTTGTTTAAGGGTTGAGTGCCATTGGTGTGTACCCTGTTCTCTTGTGGTTGTGTGGGTTGTCTGGGTTGAGTCTTGTAATTGGTCGGTGGTTGGATCTTGTGTGGTGATGTGGACGACCGTGGGTCTCGGTTTTATGTTTTACGATATTAATGGCACGTTAAATATCCGTGGATGGTGTGTTTTCTCCTAGCTCAATGCTTGGGTCCCACTGGAATGCGGTTATGATAGTGCATTGGTGTGTCTGGGTCGTAGTAGGCGGTCGTGGTCATTGTCCTGTATTTAGTGTGCAAGTCGGGGTGTGGGGAGGGAGGTCTCGTGGGTCGGTGGGTTCGTGCCCCCCGTCGCTGCTCCAGGTTCGTCGCCTCCCGGGGCCTCACTTCGAGTCCCTCTAGGTCCGTCTGCATCTCCCTCCTCGTTCCTGCTTATGGTTTGGTGATGTGTTGTAGGAAGTCGTCCGAATTAATGTTCCGGAGCCAGTGGAACCAGCGTTTTATGTAGTTATCGCTTTGTTTTGGGGTGGTTGCTTTCATGTCTTCGTACTTTCTCATGTCCTCCACTTCCTCTACCCAACGTCTCATGGGTGGTGTACATGTCTGCCTCCAAAATATGGGGATCGTTGCCTTGGCCGCATTAAGGAGTCTCGGGATGACTGACCTGGTATACGTCGGTGTCAGCATGGTGGTGTGGTGGAGGAGAAAGGCGGCTGGTGTCTGTGGTAGGGCCTCGTCTGTTATATCTTGTATTATTTTCTGAGTCGTCTCCCAGAAGGGTCGTATATGGGCGCAATCAGGGCCGCCATCAGGGCATGACAACTGCAACGGTTGTCATGGGCCCGGCGGTCCTGGGGGGCCCGGACTGCTCAGGTCGTCCGGGCCCCACATTCAGTGGGTACATACCGGGTCGCAGGGGGCCCTGCGACCCCGGTATGTACCCACAGGGCCAGCCTCTTCTCCTGGGGGGCCCAGCAGCCGGTCACCTCAGGGCCCCCCAGAGGCTGGCCCTGACACCCGGCCGGCGCGCGAGGGAGCACTCTCTGTGTGCTTCCTCTTCAGCTCCCTCGCGCGCCCGTACTGATGCCGGAGCCGGAAGATGACGTCATCTTCCGGCTCCGGCATCAGTACGCGGCGCGCGAGGGAGCTGAAGAGGAAGCACACAGAGAGTGCTCCCTCGCGCGCCGGCCGGGTGTCAGGGAGAAAATTTGAGTGAGTGGGGGTGGGGGAGAGGGAGGGAGGAAATTTGAGGGGGGGAGGGAGAGGGAGGGAAGAAATTTGAGTTGGGGTGGGAGGGAGAGGGAGGAAATTTGTGGGTGGGGGAGAGGGAGGGAGGAAATTTGAGTGTGGTGGGAGAGGGAGGAGAATTTGAGTGAGGTGGGGGAGAGGGAGGGAGAATTTAGGTGAGTTGGGGGAGAGAGGGAAGAAATTTGAGGGGAGGGAGGGAGGGTGAGGGGAGGGTGGGAAGAAATTTGTGGGGGAGAGGGAGGGAGAATTTGAGTGTGGTGGGGGAGAGGGAGGGAGGAAATTTGAGTGTGGTGGGGAGAGGGAGGGAGGAAATTTGAGTGAGGAGTGGGGAGAGGGGAGGAGAGAAATTTGAGTGAGTTGGGGGAGAGGAGGAGAATTTGAGGGGAGAGGAAGGGAGAAATTTGGGGAGAGGAAGGGAGGAAATTTGAGGGGGAGAGGAAGGAAATTTGAGGGGGAGAGAAGGAAGGAAATTTGAGGGGGAGAGAAGGAAGGAAATGAGAGGGAGGGGGAGAAGGAAGGAAATGAGAGGGAGGGGGGAGACGGCAATGAGAGGGAGGGGGGGAGAAGGCAATGAGAGGGAGAGGGAGGGGGAGAAGAAGTAAATTGACAGGTGTAGGGGGAGAGATTGACATCCATCACACACATACACACACAATGCACCCTTTGCACACAGAAAAACACACAATGCATTACACACAGACACACATACACAAGCAATGCATCCCTTACACACAGCAACACACAATGCACCCCTTACACACACTCAATGCATCCCTTACAGAGGCACACACTGCATCCCATAC